GGCTCTGCCAGTGGCCAATGGGCCTTAGCCAGGCCTCCATTTCCTCAGCTAAGAATAAGGACTCCTCCCGATCTGCGAGCTGACTTTCTTCCTGTGGGTAATATTATTCTAGCGATGGAACTGAGCTTTCCAGTGGTGAAGAACTGCTTGCTGACACCCGCTTCCTGTTTGCCACCAACAACTTCCGGTTCACTACCACCAACTTCCGGTTCACTACCACCAACTTCCGGTTCACTACCACCAACTTCCGGTTCACTACCACCAACTTCCGGTTCACTACCACCAACTTCCGGTTCACTACCACCAACTTCCGGTTCACTACCACCAACTTCCGGTTCACTACCACCAACTTCCGGTTCACTACCACCAACTTCCGGTTCACTACCACCAACTTCCGGTTCACTACCACCAACTTCCGGTTCACTACCACCAACTTCCGGTTCACTACCACCAACTTCCGGTTCACTACCACCAACTTCCGGTTCACTACCACCAACTTCCGGTTCACTACCACCAACTTCCGGTTCACTACCACCAACTTCCGGTTCACTACCACCAACTTCCGGTTCACTACCACCAACTTCCGGTTCACTACCACCAACTTCCGGTTCACTACCACCAACTTCCGGTTCACTACCACCAACTTCCGGTTCACTACCACCAACTTCCGGTTCACTACCACCAACTTCCGGTTCACTACCACCAACTTCCGGTTCACTACCACCAACTTCCGGTTCACTACCACCAACTTCCGGTTCACTACCACCAACTTCCGGTTCACTACCACCAACTTCCGGTTCACTACCACCAACTTCCGGTTCACTACCACCAACTTCCGGTTCACTACCACCAACTTCCGGTTCACTACCACCAACTTCCGGTTCACTACCACCAACTTCCGGTTCACTACCACCAACTTCCGGTTCACTACCACCAACTTCCGGTTCACTACCACCAACTTCCGGTTCACTACCACCAACTTCCGGTTCACTACCACCAACTTCCGGTTCACTACCACCAACTTCCGGTTCACTACCACCAACTTCAGATTCACTATCACCCACTTCCACTTTGCCACCACACACTTCCGGTTTTCCACCACACACTTCCTGTTTTCCCCACCCACTTCCACTTCCCCCAATTTTTCATGCCGTACTTAAATCTTTCAGATGTTTTCTTCTTTGAGAAAAATTCAAGGAATAAGAAAACAGGGATGGAAGGGGAAGTCATAGATTAAGAGGCTAAAAAGAGATCTCAACCAACCAGTGTGTTAACTTCATTTGCATCCCGAGTCAAACAAGCAGATTAAAAAAATTTTTAAAAAGACATTAGTGAGGCAATTGGAAATTGGAACACTTAGATATTAGATCTGAAGAGATGATCATTAATTATTTTTGGGGTCTTAATGGTGTTATAGTTATGTTTTTAAAAGGGTCCTTATCTTTTAAGATACATACTGAAAATTTTGCAGATAAAATATGATGCTGGGAGCAGTTAGTGAGTGGTGATATAGATGGGACAAGTTTTGGGCATAAATTGACAATTATAGTAATTAAATGATGGGTACACGGGAGTGGGTTATACTATTTGGCCTATTCTTGTATATATTTTATAGTTTACATAATAAAAAGTGTAAAAAACCCAGCCTGATGGGATTTATCTATGGAGCACATTGGCGGAGGTGTTGGAAGGGGCTGCTTGTCATAGTTGCATAATCACTGGGGGTAAATATGGAAGTTCATCAATCAGAAAGGCTATGGTGAGGAGCTGGCTGGCAACGGGCCCAGCTCTGTGTGGCTGTCATCTAGCCTCTAGGCCAATTTACCCACCATAAATAACCGTCCATGTGAATGCTTTACTATTTAAATGCACATTCGCCACAGCTGCTGCGCGTGTTTGTTTATGTAGCTATGAACCCTTCTGTAAACACCACTATCTCAAAATCACCCATGTGTCAGGAACATAAAGGGCTCCCTTAAAAGATATATTTGTGGGATGAGACACGGCCAGTTCCCAGATGTCTGGGTGGTGGGTGTCAGAATTTTGCAGGGTTTGATTCATTTTCAAAAATAGAATCACATGACTGGAAGGTTCTTAGAGGTCACTGTACACATTTCTCCGAGTCTGGGCAGAACCAGACTGAAGCCATCCCCTGAGGATGTGGGTCTGTCTTTTGTGGATGCGAGTCTGCCTTTTATGAGGCCAGAGAACTCATCGAGTGAAGGCCTGGGGTCATGACCTGCAGGGCACCGGGGTTGGGCAAGATGCACACCCTACCCTCAAGGTTCTTACTTTCATTTTCTAAAAATGAGCCTGACTCTGAGTGCTGGGCAAAGGCTTGCTGCAGTGCCGCTGGCGTTGGAATCATCTGCCAGATGTTCTGTGCTGAGCCTGGGACCCAGCTGACTGAAGGACCGGGTGGCCAGCCTTCCCCAGGGCAGCTCAGCTCTCCAGAAATACCATGTTCTGATCCACGTATGCCCACACGTGGGTGACAGGGAGAGGGCACTGCATCAGGGTTGCAATGTGGAGCTCGTCCTTGAAATAGGCCCGCTAACTGAGATCACGGATAGTAGTTTAAGGTCAACTAAGACATTTTCGAAAGGAGAAATGAGTAGAGCGGAAGCCGTTTTGTGCCAGCTCACTGTTGTCAAGGCTCTTGGTGTCCCATCCAGCCCTCCAGTGAATAATTAGGCCCTTGTGAATTTGTTTTCCTCAGTGTGCATTTGATCCATATTAATTTTTTCCTGTGACTTTGACTCATTGAAGCATTTCTTCCCCCTAAGGATCTGTTTAATGCCCACAAATACCAACTGTGTTTTTCATTCACAAAGAAAAGCATTCCCCTGAAGCTTAAGAGATCAGATGTGCTATAAGCACTGAATTGTATGAATCCCACCAGGAAAGGAACAAGACATGTCCAGCTTCCAGACAAGCCCAGGACTTTCTAGAACATTCTTCCCTTCACTTTCCAGAAGTTAGAAAACTTTTTTTTTGTTTAAATAGAAAATTAATAGGGGTTGCCTTTTTCCAGGAACAAAGGCAGGTGTTTTGAATCTTTTCTTTTTTTGCTGGCACCTTCCCCCTTTCCTCCAAGGAAGCAGTAGAAAGGCCGTGGCAAGCATCACTGTGGATTATCAAGAAGACGGCGCCCCTCTCTTTGGAAAGGTTCAGGCATTACAAACTGTCCTCAGAAAGACAGGGCCTGCCCCAGGGAGAATGCCAGCTCAGGGACATCACAGGATAATTTGCTTATTCCGGGTTCATGTATTTTTTTGAGATTGAGTTTTGGGTGGAGCGAGCATGAAGCTCAGCTTCTACAGTTTGAAGCTCAGATGAACACCACTAACCAGAAAGGACATATTTCCCGTGGCTTTTGCTTCTTGAGCTCAGAGATGCCACGATAACAAGGCTTGTCCACTGCCCTCCCTCAGGTCCTATTGGGAGAGTTGATAGTGAGAAATCTAATATTCAAATTGCATCATGAGTGGTTGGTTTATGCTGCCAGAGGCTGTGTCGCAGGGGCCACCACTAGGGGGATCCAGAGTCCCTGTGCTCAGCCCCGTGGGAGAAGTTTCTGGTCTGTGGGAAATGACAGGGCTCCCGGTTTAAATTGCTCCCTCCCTCTCTCCTGCCTCTCCACTCCCCCAAACACACAACCATGGCTTCAGGAATACATCCGAAGTCAGGCTCAAGTAACAGATAGCCCTGTTCACATCTGTAGCAATCTTTTAGTATTCCACAATCATTCTTTTGCTATTCTTTACAGCTGTTTTCGGATTAGGACCATGCTCCTTTAGTTCTATGGAAAGGAGCCCACTCAAACCACCGAGCTCCATGCAAAGCCCGCCACTCACATTTTCATTGCTGGTTGCATTTACAGACTGATGGCAAAGTTTCCACCAGGAGAGAAACTTGCTAGAGATATGACCTTGCCTGCTGGGCACAGGCAGGCGGAGACACGGGACCAAGGACTTTCTTTTGAAGGGATGACGGAGGTCAGCTTAGGGGTTGATGAGGAATCTGGGGCCTGTCTGTGGGCCATGTATTTTCAGTTGAGATAAACCAACCCCGAGCCTCCAGTTGAAGACTTCCAGGCACAGAAGGGCAGATTGCATAACTAAACAGGATCCCAAGGCTACTATCGATGCTCAGAAGAACAGTAAAGAAATTGACGAGTTAGGGTTCTAGTTTATATGATTTCTGGAGGACACCACTGCTAGCTTAGGTCAGAGTTTACGGCTCTGTTTTGTGGACAGTTACAGATAAACACGGGCAGAACCTGTTTTGCTGGTGGGATGAATAACACGTGTAAAGTTCAGATGTGAGTGAAGACTTCAATAAAAGCAGACCAGCTCCCTATTCTGAGAGAAGATGATCTTCCCTAAAGCACACCAATGAGAGGTCAATGGGGTTGCGACGAATGGATCTTCGGCTTTTTGCTTTCCTGCTGGAGCTATTTACTGGGGCTGCAGGATTGTGTCTGCCGGGGGTTCAGCAGGTAGACTATGGAGATAGACGCCAAGCACTCACTCGACATAAAACAACGCTATGGGCCTTGCAAATAGCTCCCAAAGAAGAGGGGAAATTGCATTTTTATTAAAGCGATTTGTCAGGCTTCCTCTGAAAGCCTTCCCGTCTTCCTCCTGGCGAGGCAGTAAATAACCCCAAGTATTTAAATTGACCATGTTTCAGCGCCATTTAAAAGGTGCTTTAGAGAGAAATTTTAACTTACATAAATACTTGGAAATTTAACATATATTAAGCAGTGTTTTTAAAACACTTGTTTATTAATTTGTTTCTAAAGGCCTTTTAAAAAGCGACGGCTAGCCTTCTTGGTGGATAGACTTGAGGGGATAAGCTACATGGGCATACTACGTCATGAAGTGAGGGGCGGTGTCAACAGTGAGTGCGGTGCCGCTTTCCCATAAATAAGAATGTGAGACCCGGTTGAAAGGAGCCTGGGTCCCACAGACACCCCAGGACTGAGCAGGCCTTACCTGTGGCTTCCACCATTCCTTCCAGGATGACCACGATCTCCAGTTCCTCTTTGGGCAGCTGGGCTTTGGAGATTTCCCAGAAAGGACTCTGTTGGTTGATTTCGTGACTGATGATGAGAGGCGACACCAGGAACAGCCGGTCGTCCCCGGTGTAATACCCGACGTTGATGTCCGTCTGGTTCAAGGGGATGAACTCCCCCTCTGAGGTCTGTTTGGATTTGATCAGCTTGGCTCGGATGGAGGCCTCCACGATGTGGGAATTCCTGAGGTCCCCGACGCGAAACATCAGGCACAGCTTCCCGTCCCGCATGGAGATCACCGCGTGGGTGGAGAACACCAGGGTCTCTGCCCTCTTCTTGGGTTGCGATATTTTGACAAACATGCATCCCACCATGAATGCATTGACAATGGACCCCAACACCGACTGGACTAAGAGGAGAATAATCCCCTCCGGGCACTTGTCCGTGATGACCCGGTAGCCATAACCGATGGTGGTTTCTGTCTCTATTGAGAATAAAAAAGCAGAGACGAACCCGTTGAGGTTGGTGACGCAGGGAGTCCACGACGGGTCCTCTATGTGGTCCATATCTCCTCGGATATACGCTATTAGCCACCAGATCATCCCAAAAAAGAGCCACGTGACTGTGTAAACCATGACGAAGATCAGCAGGTTGAACCTCCACTTGAGGTCGACTAAGGTGGTGAAGATGTCGGTCAGGTAGCGGTAGGTCTCCCTCACGTTGCCATGGTGCACGTTGCACTTCCCGTCCTTCCGCACGTACCTCTGGATTTTCCTTTTGGTCCGGTCTCGGCAGATGTGTCTCGGCAGGTCGTCCCTGGCCTGCTTAGGCAACTTTGGCTGGTGAATGGCCACGGGGCTCTCCACGTCCTGGTCCATGGAGTCGCCCTCCAGGACGTTAGCTGGTGGTTTGGAGAAAAGAAAAGAAAGACCGAATGAAATGCTGGCTCTTAGGGGATCATGGAAACCACACCGTGTGCGGGATATGAACGTCAAACCAAACACCATTTGTGTAGCTATTCACAAAGTAGACAAAGCGAGTTTTATGTGGCATCGTCTGGACAGGCCCCGAGTTGACTTGGACTCTGTGCTCTGCCGTCTACCTTTGTGTAGGAACTTCACCCCCCTTCCCAGCAGACAGAGCTCCCGGCTGTGAAAGCGTCTCCAGGCCAGCAAGTTCTGAGAGTCAGCTCTCAGCCAGGGGTCTCCCGCTTCACCTGAGACGCCACGGCAGGGAGCTGCACACTGCGGATAAGGAGATGTTAGGATTCGGACAGTCTCCGCTCTCCCACTTAGTAAATGTGGGCTCTTGGATGTGCTATTTTTTTATATCACTTCCCCGCCCCCCTCTCCCTGCCCCACAAATGTGGAGATGGAGCCTTTCAGGAGGTAAGTAAGGTTGAATGAGGTCATATGGTGGGTCCCTTATTCTACAGGGCTGGTGTCTTCATAAGAGGAGGAGGAGACACCAGGATGTGTACCTGGAGGAAAGGACATGTGAGGGCCGTGGGAAGGCGGCCATCTGTCAGCCAGGAGCAGAGGTCTCCCAGACCAATGTCTACCTTTGTGTAGGGCCTTCAACCCCCTTCCCAGCAGACAGAGCTCCTGGCTGTGAAAGCGTCTCCTGGCCAGCAAGTTCTGGGAGTCAGCTCTCAGCCAGGGGTCTCCTGCTTCACCTGAGACGCCACGGCAGGGAGCTGCACACTGCGGATAAAGAGATGTTAGGGTTCGGACAGTCTCCGCTCTTCCACTTAGCAAATGTGGGCTCTTGGACGTGCTACTTTTTATATCACTTCCCCGCCCCCCTCTCCCTGCCCCACAAATGTGGAGAGGGAGCCTTTCAGGAGGTAAGGTTGAATGAGGTCATACGGTGGGTCCCTAATTCTACAGGGCTGGTGTTTTTATAAGAGAGGAGGAGACACCAGGATGTGTACCTGTAGGAAAGGACATGTGAGGGCCGTGGGAAGGCGGCCATCTGTCAGCCAGGAGCAGAGGTCTCCCAGACCAACCAGAGTCCCCAGAAACCAACCCTGCTGGTACCTCGATCTTCAATTGCCAGCCCTCAGAATTGTGAGGAAATACATTTCTGTCGTTTAAGCCTCCCAGTTTGTGGTGCCCTGTTATGGCAGCCCAGGGAGACTAACACACTATCCAAATTCACTGAGCCTCAGTTTCCACATTTACCAAGTGGTGATCAAGATGCCCAATTCATGGGGTTGTAGTTGGATGAAACCACATACCTGCCTGGAACCGACACATAATACATTTCCTTTCAACTAAATTGTTCCTTTGCTACTTTCCTTATGTTTAGGGCAAGATCTTTACATCGTCACTCAGATTTCAGAGTTAAAAAAAAAAAAGTCTGGTTTTTGTTGGTTGATTTCATGCCAAGGTTAAAAAAGTGTGGGGGAATCTCTTTCTTTGAGTGTTTACACATTTGATTTGGTTGCTTCCTCCACATTGACTATCTGCAGTCCTGGCGTGTGGCTACCTTTACATCGTCACTCAGATTTCAGAGTTTAAAAAAAAGGTCTGGTTTTTGTTGGTTGATTCCATGCCAAGGTTAAAAAAGTGTGGGGGAATCTCTTTTTTTGAGTGTTTACACATTTGATTTGGTTGCTGCCTCCACATTGACTATCTGCAGTCCTGGCGTGTGGCTATGTTTTGCTGAAGGCCCTGTGATGAAAGCATTGGTAGAATCGGCAGTTACTCATGCATTAGGAAAACTCTTCTAGAACCTGCGTGCAAGGGGAAGTCTGGCACGGCTGCTGTTACCACACACATAGAAGCCACCATGCGCAGCTACTTGCTCAGCCAATACCTTCCAAGCTCCCTAAGGGGCTTATGAACTGTTTCTTCCCCCAGGCTCTCCTTCTGTGTCTGTTGACTCTGTCATGCGTTTTGTCCATGGCACCTACGGTTTGTCCCCTTGGTTAACCACAGAGAAAGGCAGTCTGTCGAGAAAACCCTCATTTGGTAAAGGAAACAGCTGGGGGTGGGACTCAGGTGGTGCCAACGTGACATCAGTGGCCTAGGTCTGCTCTTATATTTCAGCCCCTGGAAGAGGCCCATCTGGTCTGTAGAGCAGACGGTTGGGTTTGGCAACTTTGACTTTTAGATTCCGGCCCTCCTTCTCCTCTTCTTCCTCCTCCTCCCACTTCTCCTCCTCCTTCTTCTCACTCTTCTCCTCCTCCTCTCCCCCTCCTCCTCTTCCTCCTTCTTGGAACAGAAATTAGGACAGGAGTGAGAGGGTAGCAGCTGAGGCTGGGACGGGGTGAAGGTGAGTGGAGAATCTAGATGGATGTGCGGGTGACGTCCCTCTCACTGACGACACCCCCAGCAAGGCACGATGATTGTGGCCCCGAGTGGTCACAGCTGAGGTCTCACTGTTGGTTTTGCCCCAAGTGGGAGTCTCAAAATATAGCTTCATGTGGGACCAGCTCTGGGTTCACACCCAGGTAGGTGGGAGGCCTTTGCTGCAGACCTGGCGAGTGCCTTGCTTTGACCCAGGTGCTAAGCTCCTGACGGTGCAAAGCCACCTGCGCCCTGGTCTCCTGGAGCCCTTCCGTGAAGAAGAGGGCTTGCCAGATTAGCTGCTTTTTAAGTCTTCAGCGAGATTCATACTTTAAATGTCAGGGAGGAAGTCCACGCCCGCCCCCGCCACCCACGGTGAAGCTGCTTTCCCCCCTTTCCTGGCTCAGCTGTCACTTCAAGCTCCAGGCTGGCCTTCTGAGCTGGGGGGCCTGTGTGAACAGTTAGAGTGAGTGGGGTGAGTGCTCTGGACAGTCCCGGGAGCTGCCAGTGATCCTCCAAACCTGTTCCCCCCTCTGCTAGCTCGGGACTGAGCACAGTTCCTGGCCTCCTCCGCATTGAGGGGTGGCCATGGGCTGAACCCCCTTCTGCCCTTAAAGAGTGTCTGTGCCCCCCTGTGCCCGTGCCCTTCCATGGGGAGTGGAGGGGCCTGGGGCCTGTGCTCATGGCAGAGCTGCCGTCCGACTAGAAACCAGAAAAGAAGTGACTGTGTTTGAGCCATTATGCAGTTTGCGTCTGGAATGAAATAGAGCCTCATCTTTCACTTTATGGGCAGCAGCACTGACACGCACGGGCCGAGGGCACCGTGATGAGGGCGCTGCGTGGGGAAGAGCGGGGAGAGGGGACTGGAGGGGAGACGGAGGTTTGTGTTTGGCACCTGCAACGAACCAGCAGGTGGAACAGGTAAGTCCTGTGTGACTCAAATGCCTTTTAAAAGCAAACAAACTGAGAAAGCCAGACGATCTTGGGAGCGCGGTGGGAAGGTGGCCCCGGGGGTGCCCTGCAGCTGAGGCCGGGGTGTGGGCAAGGTGTGTCCCTGGGAAGATGGGGAAGGGGTTCAGAAGGTGCCACCCCAAACCTGCCACTCGGCATGCTGACTGTTTTGAGTTAAAGGTGCCTAAGAAGCAGCCGGTGCAAGAAGCACACGCTGACCCGCCTTGTCCTCCTGAAATCAGGAGCTACGCCCCCTGTCAGAGGAGCCCTCCCTGCTTCAGGAGGGAGTCCCCGCATCAACAAACCGAGTTAAACAAACCAGGCCGACCTGGTCGCTCCTTCCCCGTGCACCACCCAGAGCCCCAGCCTCCCTGTCTTGCCAGCTCTTCCCAGGTTATTCTTTGTCTACAGGCCTCAAGGCTTCCTGCTTCAGTCGCATCGTTGGGCCTCCTGCGAAGCTTCCCAGGCACATGAGAAAATTCAATAAAACGCGTCTGCTTTCCTCCTGCCGATCTGACTTATGTTCAGTTTAGTTCTTAGGCCCCCGAGAGACCTGCGGGCAGAGGAAAATTTTTCTTGCCTTGCGATGGGGAGGGGAGGCCGGGCCCCTATAGTGGCTGGTGGGAAAACAGGCTCAGAGGCCGGAGAAACCAAAATTCTCGCGAGGCGGGAATACCTGGGGACTAGGAGAGACTGAAGCCGGAGTCCAAGGGGCAGGGGGCCAGGCCAGTGAGGGGTGTGGGGTGTGGAGCGGGGGCCCAGCTGGCGGCTGTGTCCAGGGCAATGGCAGGGGCCCTGGGCAGGGGAGAGAAGCTGCCTCAGCTCTGGGGTGCAGAGGCGTCCAGGGGGGACCCAGAAGGGAATGCTCACGAGGGCACTCAACCTTTCTTTCTTCCCCGGAACCCCAGGTGTGAATGGAGGGGTGATCTGAATTGCATTTGCAAGAGCATTTGGAGCTGCTCAGCACAGCGAGCTGCAGCTGCCGCTTGGAGAGCAGACATCTTTCCTGCATGCCTGCACAGACCTGGGTGCGAACGACCTCTCACCACCTTGGCCGCAGCCCTCCACGGCCCCAGGGCCCGCTGGCTGTCCATGTAGACCCCCCCTCCCTCAGCCTCACCCCCCGCCCGACTGCACGTGCTTCAGCATCGTGCACGTAGGTTGACCGGGATAACGCAGAAGAACTGCTAACAGTGAAGTGTGTACAGCGCACAAGAGGATATGCGAGAGGTCCTGAGGGGCGGCCGCGAGGCACTTGGTGGTTCATAAGTTGATGCTCAACCACTGAGCCACGCCGGCTGGGCCCTTCCTTATTTCTTATACCAAAATGAATTCCAAGTGAATTAAGGATTTAAATGCAAAGAAAAAAATAAAACTACAGAGGGAGTGGAGATGTATTTTTATAATTCTAAAAGTTGGGAAAGCTGTTCTAACCATGATAGGAATCCAGAAAGTATTTTAAAACACTGTTATTTTTGTCAATATAAAAATTTTAAATGTTTGTAAGGAAAGTGGGAAGACAAACCAGCAAACATATTGGCAACACATAACATACACATTCCCAATTTACAAAAGCAACAAACGTCCCATAGAAAACATGGTCACAGGAAACGGATAAGGGGCTTAGAAGAGAAAAAGCACACAAAGATGTCAAGCA